CTAACCCAAAAGTCTGTATGTTTAGTTTTTAATCAGGAAATTTCCCTGGAGTTTATCAAAGAAAGAAACTCAAGGATTTGGCTAGTAAGAAAGTGGGGATGTATATGCATCCATGACCTTGTAAGATTCAACTTTGAAGAGGGAATACAGTGTGTATTTATACTTCTGAGTTCCTGTAAGTTCTCACGCTTTATTGAGAACCACCTATTTTTACAAGCATGGAAAGGCCCTTAGTGTGTCTCCTGGCATCTTAAATTAATCATAGCCAGCCTTAGGAATGTAACAGTCATCATGTCACCCACGTCACTTTTTTCAGATGTAAAGGGGGATGCCATTTTCTACCACTTCCATGTCTCTGATGCTGTTGTTCAACATCTAAGAGCATTGTAGAACCTTTGTGGGTGTAGATATTGGAAGAATAACAGAATTTCTTTTTGCTAGATAGCACAAGCTATGCTGAAAACAAGTGTTAAAATACTTCAGTGGCTTAGGACTTATGGCATTGCAACATGCTTCCTTTTCACTGCCTATTTTCTATCAATCTGTTGAAGATATGCAAGTTTGTAGCCCACATTTGACTATCTTTGTCTCAAGTCAGCTCTAGTTAAATTTCTGAGGCTGAGTAATTGCTGAGGCTTTCAGAATAAAGAGAAACTGAGGGAAGAAGAGGAGAGGAAACCTTTTTCCTTCCACTGATTTCCTTTATACATGCCATCCAATTCAAGTTTAATTTATTTTATATTTTTTTCTTTATCTAGTAGCTCCTTATAAATATCAAAAGGCAAACTGTAACCGTATTATGAGCATCTTGTAAACGTTTTTTTGAAGTGCAAGTCTGAACATGCTATACCAGTATAGAAACGCCACCTGATTTTGTCTCTTTAGTTTGCTCAGCAGTCCAGCAAAACTACTGAGATAATGAAATTAAATGTTCTCCGTGTCTATTAGTACCTGTATTTTTATTACCTCTTCTGTATGGAGATATGTAAGACAGCAGTTATATGAAACCCACCGAATTATTATTTTGAGGTAGCAAAACTTGCTCTAGTACTAGAAAGGTTCCCTCCTGCAGTACCAGTGTGGGGAAAAAAAAAAAAAAAAAGATGGAAAAAAGATGGTTAGGAAAATCTGTGATTTAAGACTGTAAAGGTATCAATGAAATCCAAGGATATCCCATAGCTCTGCCCATTGCCTCATGTTCTTTGTTCTTGTAGGAAAATTTACCTGTAGAGCAAACAAGCTGCCAAACCCAGTTTGAAAAAAAAAAAAAAAGGGACTGAGATGGCTTGCAACTCAGTAAAGTACTTTTAGAGCCTGAATCTCTTACATGAGTTTCCACTAAATGAAATTGATATATATGTCCAACATGGGAGGCAATGGATGGAAATTTTTTGAGATACCATTGAGACAATTGTTGTAAAGAGAAGAAAGAGAGCTGCTAACCAGTCCTTGGCTATATTTCCATTCCCCACTTTTCAGTCAGGGTCTCTCCTGGAAATTCCATCATGACTGAGTAGTATTAGCCGATATGCTGAGGGCCATACTCTATCAAACAGCATAGAAAAAGAAAAATAATATCTAGATGCAATTAAACTTCATTAAGCCGAACACAATCAAACTGTAAAAATTAGTTTGCTCCCTGTTAGCCACAGTTGATGTGTCTTTATCTAGGTTAGCTAGCTGGTGTCCTCCATGAGAATACTTCCTTAGGAAAAGCCCACTGTCGATGGGTTTTGACCACTGGAATTATCCTGTTGTTCATTTTATGGTAAAATAAGTCTTTTAAGTGCCAGTAAAGGATGTTGTGATATTATATATGTGTTCAAGAATGACATCCTAGGTGTTGATTGGATACTTCATGCTGCAGTTTGTTCTCTGTTAAAGAGCAAACAACTGTTTATAATCTCTGTATCAGTAAGCAGTTCTCAGTCATTCTGTAGACCATGATAGCATAGGGCCTCTCTACCTTTGCTTGTTAAAGGTCTGATTTCACTTTGATGGTATGGAGGAATTGGTGCAAACTTTTCACTGAAAGGTGCTTCTTGTGGCTGTGAAGTAGTTAGCTTTCCCTCCACTGCAATTTGAAAGTATTTGAATCAGAAGATGCTAATAAAGACCCAGGTTTCTCTAGCTGAACTCTAAGTGAACCTAAGATAATACATGGAGACTAAACAAAATACAAGAGAGTTGCATTGCAGACTGTTGCCTCCTGTGCCTGAGCCAGCAGCAAATTATAAAGGAAGGAGGTTAGGATATTAAGTGACTCAAAATATGATAGTAAAGAGTTCAAGCACTATGGGTGTCACCTTGTGCAATGTGAGATAGGGGAATATATCTCTTTTCCTAAAAATTGCCAGCTGACCTGGAGAAGTGGTGCATATGTACTGAGTGGCATGAATGATGATGCTGCCACACCTGCACCTGACACCGTGGAAGCCTGCTGGGTTTGTGATGTGTTGTGCTGCTGTACTGTGGCTGGACAGAATTATTTCTGGATGTAATGAAATAAGGATGGAGGTTATTTTTCAGTACTAACTACTTTCTTCAGCCTGTCTGGGTGGTGAGCAGAGAGTTTTTCTGACTCCCTTCAGAAGTTTTGGAGGTACCAAACTAGTCCAAGTGTTTCAGTAGCAGCCGTTTCTAGCATCCTATTAAATTCTGAGGACAGGTGTAATTCCATGCTAAGTGACAGGGTTTTCCCACCCTGCATTCCTCTTTTCACAGGAAGCAACTATTTCATGATACAAGTGTGAACCATTAGCCTTTATCACCAGGCAACCACATTATCAAGACATACTTAACTATCATACAGAACATGCTTTCTATCTAGCAGTTCTATCGGTATCGTTCACCGTTCACACACCCAGTCTCCATCTGCTAGGCAGGGTCTGTTCTTCCGACGTGTGATCTGAGAGCACCCCAGGCACCTGCCCGGCTTGCAGATGGTGTTACTCCATCACAGTGTGGAGTCATCACTGACAACACAGCGTATTTCAGGGAGATGAAAGGGGATGATGGAGTTAAGGTCTTACTGAAGATGTGTCAGACCATCTGAGCTAACTGTAGTTATTGTGCGTAATTTTTTTTTTTGTCATTGCCAAACTGTGCAGGAGGTGAGGTTGTGTTTGTAACAAGTCTCCTACCTACTTTGGAGGGGGGGAGAAGCCCCAAACCACAGAAAATAGGGCAGAGATCCTGATCCCACGTTAAAATTGCCCTCAAGGAACCTTTCGGTGGTCCGGTACTAACTTTTTCTAGGTGCCGTTTTTTCTGCTCAAGTGTTTGTGGTTTGGATTCCACCCCCCACCCCCCCCGCGATGCTATTTTTTGCGAACGAAAAAAGTGCTAAGCAGGCTGAAGCGGCAGCAGAAGGCACATACGGCTGTGCTCAAAACTAAGTTAAACTCGGAGGGGTGTGCGAGCAGCGCTCACCGTGCGGGCTGGTAGCGGCGGGGCCGGGGGCTCAGGGAGGAGCGGGGCAGCCCGCACGGTGAGCGCTGC